AACGAGCCAGAACGGAGAGATGTGGGAGCTTTGGAGTCCAACAACTCCTGAGACTGGAACCTGTTGCATCCGTCTCAAAGCCAATTGTTGACAGAGCTCCCGGAGCATTTTGAGCAACTTGAAATAGAAAGTTATGTCCCTCAGTCCCAACCTCCCCAACTGAGATAGAGCTTAACGCAACCCACGTTCACTTTTCGTGATCCAGGAGCTGGCAGTGGAGCCAGCGTGGCGTCGGCATATTTCCACTTAGTTAGAAGTGACTGGGGAATTGGCTCGGTGCAACAGGGTCAAGCAGCAGAGGGGAGACAGCAGATGCAGCCAGCATTTGTAATGCTGCAACCTCCAGTTGCCCTCCCCCCCATCAACCTACCTTTATGCTATCCCCTGTGGAATGTATTCCCCCAGGCTGGGGATTCTGTCCTGATCATGGGTGGGTCCAATGCCAGTGGATGCCAGCACCTTCTGTGCCACCTTCGGGACCACCATGGGGCCAATTTGCCTCAACAATCCTGGTGCAGCAATGGGGTCTGATCCAGCAGCCGGCTGCAGCCCCCCTCCCTTTGCAACTCAACAACCACCTCAGTGGTCCTATCCAGCAACGCAGCAGCAGGTCCCCGCCCTGCTTCCCACCACAGTGCCCCACAGGTTCTTGCTCCACTTCCCGCCACCCACTGCAGCACCCTGGCAGGCCCCTGCCACCAGTCGCCATAGCAATTCCACCAGTGAGGCCACTGCCAACAAGGTTTAGAGCGACATTTGATGGGAAACCTGCAAAATTGGCTTATTTCCTCAGCCAAGTCTGGGCACATATAGATCAATATGGAGAACAATATGAGACAGATCGCGACTTAGTTTCAGCGATTTCAGATGGGATGAATGGAGACACTTCTGACTGGTTAGCCCAGCTATACAATGGGGCTGCTGAGCTAAATGATGCAGATTGGTTTGTTGAGCTGCTCCAGGCCAGATTTGAAGACCCTGACAGAGTCAATGAAAATGAAGACACAATAAAAGTGATGAAGCAAGGTAATCGACCCATAAAAGACTTTGTATGGGACTTTAGACAGATCACAGGAAATCTTGGACATTGCCTGACAGAATACTATTGTACTATTTTACAGAAGCTATTGATCAAGAAGTTAGAAAAGCCTGTGGGGTCCAAGGGTACCAGAGCAACTGCAAGACTGGTATACCATGTCTATAGCTCGCGATAGAGAAAACCTCATCGCAAACCTTCATCTGAGAGGCCCCTGAGGAGAACTTTGGCCAGACGTCCTCTGACTAAGCCTGCTGCGGCCGTTCCTACCCAGTCTACAGTGGTTATCAAATGCTACCATTGTGGTTAAGCTGGTCATCGGGCTTCCGAGTGTCTGGCACCTGCCAACCAATAGGGGCCAACCACCAGAAACAGCAGCTACCACTTCAGACTCTCCTCCAGGCGAACCCCAGATTCCTAAGGAATACAGAGACTTAGCCGAGGTGTTTAGTGAGGAGGAATGAAACTTCCTCCCCCATCACTGATTGTGCCATCAAATTAGAACAAAGCTGCCAAAACCAAAATGTACTCCATGACACCTACCGAAATGACTGAGTTCAGGAAGTACATTGATACCAACTTAGCCAGAGTATTCATCGAACCAGCAAAATCTAGGTTGGCAGCCCCAGTATTATTTAAAGAGGAGGAAGATGGGGGACTTAGCTTATGCATGTATTTTAGGGGCGTGAATGGGGTGTGTATACAAAACATGTACCCCCTGAAGGACTTGCTGAATCTCTGTCAAAAGGCAAAATCTTTACCAAGCTAGACCTGAGGGAAGCTTTCTACCGAGTCCACATAAAAGAGGGAGATGAGTGGAAAATGGCATTTAACTGCCCTCTTGGGAGTTTCCAATTCTGAGTCATGCCTTTCGGACTCCAAGGGCCCCCCACTGTATTTATGCAGCTGATCAATGAGGTGATACATGAACATCTGTATAAGGGAGTCCTTGTTTAGCTGATCGACATTCTTATATTTAGCGAGACCCTGGAAGAGGATGTCAAACTAATCAGACAAATACTGAAAAAACTTAACTGCCAAACTATACGCAAAGCTATCAAAATAAGAATTCCATAAGGAGTCTTTGGACTACCTGGGCTTACCAAGTGTCAAATCAGGGGAATCGAGATGGACCCTGGAAAGGTGAAGGCTGTGCTAGATTGGCAACCCCTAAGAACACGTAAGCAACTTCAAAGCTTTACAAAAGGTTTTGCAAATTTTTATAGACAATTCATTCCTTCATTTGCCAAGGTTTCATTCCCTTTAACAGAGTTACTGAAAACCAGTCCTTCTCTGACCAAACCAAAACCTAGTCAACCTCTCACTTGGACAATGGACTGTCAAAAATCCTTTGAAACTTTAAAGCGCCTTTTCGCAGTGGAGCCTATCCTCCAACATCTGGATCCAAATTAACCTTTTGTAGCCCAAGCCGATGCCAGTGATGTGGCTGTAGCAGCTGTGCTACTTCAAAAGAACTTTCAAAACAAGCTGATGCCTTTTGTTTATATGTCAAAAAAGTTGACTGACACAGAATGCAGGTGGGCAGTTTGGGATAAGGAGACTTTTGCTGTGCGATGGGCTCTTCTATCATGGAGGCATTTCCTGGAGGGAGTTACAGAGCCCTTCGAGGTGTGGACTGATCACAAAACCCTCGAGGCTCTGAAGACTACTCGAAAATTTTCCCCAAAACAAGTTTGCTGGGCTCAATATTTTAAACACTTTAACTTCAAACTAAAGTACATTCCAGAGAGAAAAAACCTATTGGCTGATGCCTTGTCCAGAAAACCCCAATTTGAAAGCTGACGAGAGGAAATAGTGAATGTCATGATCTCCAAAGTCCAGTTGCACTGTCAAATGATGCATGGTTTAAAGAAAACCAAGTGGATTTGACTTTGAGGGAAAGGTTGGCTTGGAAAGGAAGTAAAATATATGTGCCCGCCAGCATGAGACTAATGGTGTTAAAGCGGAGTCATGACTCTCGGCTAGGGGGTCATTTTGGATTTCTAAAAACCCTCCATCTGACAAGGAGACAGTTTTGGTGGCCAAAGATGAAAAACAGTGTAGAGGACTATGTAAAAAGCTGCTCGGTTTGTGCTACCATGAAAAACAGACCAGGGAAGCTGCCTGGGTTTCTCCAACACGTAGTTGAACCAACAAAACCTTGGGAGGAAATCGAAATGGACTTTATCATTGAACTCCCAGACAGCGGTGGAAATACAGTGATTTGGACTGTCATCGATTTATTCTCTAAGCAAGCCTATTTCACCACTTGCAATGGACTGCCTTTGGCAAAATAGCTGGCAAAACTTTTCGTGAAACATATTTACAGACTTCATGGAGTTTCCTGGTGAGTAATTTCAGATCGCGGAGTCCAGTTCACTGCTAAGTTCTGGAGGGAGTTCCTAAAGTCCATTGGATCGTCCCAGGGGCTTAGCTCTGCTTTCCATCCGGCTACTAACAGATCTTCAGAACGTATGAATGCCATGGTGGAACAATACATTAGATGTTATGTAAATTATCAACAGGAAAATTGGGCCAACTTGTTACCATTCACAGAAATGACATATAATAATGGTGTACACAGTAGTACTGGGTTAACACCTTTTCAAATAACTACTGGCATGGAGTTTGTTCCTATGCCTGAGTTACCTAGAGAACAACCTACCTCCATGTCCCTAATTGAATGGATGGATACGTTAAAGAAAGGGTGGGACAATACAAATAAACCTTTAGCGGAAGCGGCTGAGGAATATAAAAAACAAGCAGACAAGCATGGATCTCTCCAACCACCTTTTCAACCAAATACTTAAGATTGAAATTACCTAGTAAGAAACTTGGACCAAAATTTCTTGGTCATTTTCCTATAGTGAAAGTAATTAACCTTGTTACTGTTCAGCTCCTCGCATACTAGGGAAAATACATCCAGTATTCCACAGCTCCCAAAGATTTTTGAAGTAATGCCAAATTCATCCTGATTTGGTACCTCTCAAAGCACGACAAATCACAACTTCTTTCCTGCAGTTCGGTTGTAGGTCATTACTGTGCTGTTGCCTCTGTGAAAATAGTTTTTTGCTTCATGGTCTCCAGGAGTGGTCTTTAAGACCATCACACACACAAACATACACAACAGACATGTCCACTTTTTCTTGGTTCAGAGATGCTGTGTTGGTCAGAAGCTTGGGGCAAGCAACACTTTGTTCTCTTTCGAGTAGATTTAAAATTCAAACATTAAATCCAAACAATACAAGCAAACAGTTGTTTGCTATTACATTCCAAGGTTGAAGATTGAAATTTCAGCAAAGCAATAATTTATGTAGTCATTTATTTATGTTGTTTTTATCCCTCATGTTCAAATCATAACATCTTGCAAGTTGTGAGATATTTTTATATGTAATAAATTGGTGCAGATGTTACCCCCTCCCTGCTTTGTCGTTCCATGGGCAGTGAGTTGTCCAGGTGTGGGGAGCACTTGTTTTGCATGCAGACAACAGGGACGACCCATCAATGCAGACATGTCAGTACCAACCCATCAGTGCGAATCTATTAATCTATTGGCACTGGTCTGGCAGTGTTGAGCCATCTGCACTGATTTGTTGACTCTGAGCCATCTCTGCATTGACCCGCCTGCACCAACCCACCTGCACGAAGTTGTCCCACTCTGTTTCAAATTGACAGTAGCGTTACTAAGAAACAAAGGAAATTGTGCTCTTGAGAAGATTCAATAGAACCCCAAGACTGGCTTAATTGTTGCTATACTTTTATCTTTCACTGCCTATTATTTTAGTGGCCTTTTCCAAAATCATTTTATGGCTTTGTTTCTATGTTTAAAATATTTATTTTGTGTGTGTGTGTGTGTGTGTGTGTGTGTGTGTGTGTGTATGCACTAATAATACAGTGAAAAGCGGTATTGAAATAGTTTAATAAAATACATTTTAAAGTAGTGATTTATTGATTTGATCTATAGGTTGAAGATTTTGTAGATCCCAATGGCAAGATCTGTCTTCAGCGAGAGGAAACACCTTCTAATCGGTGGGTAACCCAGATAATGGAATAGATTGACAGAAAAGCCTGAACTTCTATATTTATATATATAATTATTAGATAGATATTAGAGAATTTAGATAGAATTGATATATCATTGTGCAAAATTCTCTTTATTAGACAGCTAGCAGTCATAGCTTTTTGTCCATCTCACAGTTTTTGTCTATATCTAATATTCTGTGTCTCCTGAGGATGTTTTATCCCCATTGAAATGTTTGAGTTTTGCAATAACCGTGAATATCTGTAGCTTGGGTGTAGGATAAGTGGTGGTGGTGGTTTTTTGGTAGAGGAGTGGTAGTTTTTTGGATAGCCATTATAGAGAAAGACATCAAGGAGGAGAAACGGCTGCTTGAATTCTTTGTCTATAACCGTTATCCAAAAAAGTTCATATTCTGACACATAGCACCCAAACCACAACACAACACACAGCCAACCACCACGCAAAAACTAACCTTACCATACACAAAGGTTGTGTCAGAAATGAGAGCCAGAATTCTCCAACCCTTAGGAATACATTCTGCCAGGAATTATCCAGAATGAAAGACAAGGTACAGAAAGATGAAAGAAACAATGTAATCTAAAAAATCAACCAATTTTTCATTTTTCATTGCAACCAATTTTATGTGGGACAAATATCACATCAATTAAAAACTAGGATCCATAAACATTGGCCAAATGCCAATACCTGTCAGTGTGTGCTCCCTTCAAGATCCAAGAAAGAAATACTCAGACTCCATGGGTTAGAGCAAAGTTATCCTTTTACTGGAAATCAAAGTGGAAGCTACAGATTTAATTCTGAATCTAAGGAATTGGCGCGCAGATCACATATACAAAGGAATGGAATTGTTCCCACCCCCCAAAGTCCAAATGACTCCTCCAATTAAAAGTTCTTAATATGATCATGTGGACATCTTCAGGTGGTAATGAGGCCTCTGTCCGTTGACCTTGACATATTTTGATAAAACTTCACAGCTGCGCAAAAGGGGATAGAAGCTAGCAAGGAAATGGAAAGTTAAAGACAAGAATTCATACACCCCCTCCCCTTGCTTACCCACAGCAAAGGAATGCAAAACACCTCCAGCTCTCTTCCCCTCCAAGTTCCCCCTCCCCGTTGCAAATGACAGCTGAAAGAAATAGCATAGCATAGCAGCAGAGAAGGTATAGTAGATAGGATGCAGAAGATATCTTGAGCCTGACAATACCAAATCCTTAATTTCTACCCACACCAACATCAAACAGCACCATTTTGATTGTAGAAACACAAAAATCATTGGCCATGCTACCACCCACCACGCTCATGAGTTCATCGAAGCCTGGCATTCCAGAAGCAATTCCATCAACAGACACATGACCTATAACCAGCCTACAAACAGAATCCAAATCAACCGCACAGCTACCAGAGATGGCACCAACCCTCAATCAACCCATGCAAGTCCTCCCAATCAGCATTTCATCTCCCAATGACCCTCACCTGATGTAACTCCCCATCACAAGACTCTCACTGATGACTCACACCTGACCCATCACAAGACCCATAACAAGACCTTCACTTGACACATCCACATCTGAAGCTCTTATAAACAGAAGAACATTCACATTGACATTCCCTAAACTCTGCTGAAGATGTTACTTAGCCTCGTAATGAAATATTCAGAAACCAATCCTACAAACTCTGAGAATGAACCTTTACCCTTATATTTGAGATTCCCCCATACCTTAATTAATTTGATAATATTCATTTGCAATCCTTGGACTTCTAAATAAAGTTGCTGATACAACTCTCTTGAGAATAAATTGAAGCATTTTGGCTGCTTTAGATTTGGGACTCTGGTACTAAGTTCTATTTGCATGTTTTTCTTTTTTCTTTTATAGTGGTGAGTCTACAGTGCTCATTTTTGTTAACTGGCTGACACTCAGTGGCACAGAACAATCTGGTATGAGAGGACCATCCACAGAGAATCAGGAAGCAAAGAAAATGGCCCTGGAATGTATAAAGGTAATTTGGGTTCAGGTAAAAGATAATGGCATATAGAGTAGAACATCAAATTTTTAATCCATTGCATAATTGAGGCAAGACATTTATCTTTCCATTGTTGATGGACAGATTTCTTAGCACTGAGTGATGAATCTGATTCTGTAGTTCAATTATCAATGTCCATGTTCAAAAGAATATTTACATCTGAAAATATGAAACCATGTTTCAAAGTCAGATTATTATGTGTAGTTATAATACAATTGTTTTAAAAGATTGGAAATAGATATTTTATTGTTATTGTAATTGTATCTCCAACATCACCCAGAGCCCCAATCTGAGGGAGAAAGATGATTAAGAAAATGAAATATAAACAAATAAACAAATAATAGAATGATTTTACTCATTCCCTTTTTATGCAGACCCAGGAGAGTCCAGAATGTCTGAAGTACTGCTGACTGACTATGTTATAAATCATTTTGAAATCTTTCATGCAGACATTGAGATGATTTCTCATTACTTAAACAAAATGCAGATCTCTTTGGTTCATTCACTGCTTAAGATTTGAATTTTAAACTGATTTATCACTATCACTATGGGCTTTTTAGTCACATAAAAAAATGCCACTAGTCCAAATTGGTGATAGATGCTGTAGTTAAAATAAATATAATAAATTTTGTGTGTGTGTATCATACTCAATTATGATGTACAGTATGCATATATAATATAATAAATGTATAAAATATAAATTATTAATATAAATGTATGTATGCATGTAGCATGGTCTGTATATGGTGCTGAAAATTTTTATAACCAGTCGTCACATTTTATGACTTTGTAGCCTTCTCGTGATCATGGGATTGAAACTTGGATGCTCTAACAACTGGTGGACATTTATGACTATCAGTCATGTGATTGCCATTTGTATGCTTCTCAGCTGGCTTCCAAAAACCATAGTCAATGGAGAAACCATGGTCACATGATGTCTCACTTAGTGACCATATAACTTAGCAGTGAGTTTGTCAGTCTGAAATGTGATACTTAAGAGAGGACTACCTATAATAATATAATAATACAGTGACCTTTAACATCATCAAACAACAACTGCCTTTAACATCATCAAACAACAACTGCCTTTCCCAGGACCTTGGAAAGGATGCAATAGATGGATAAAAATGCCAAATCCAGTCTAAACACTTGGCTGACTATGCAGCAAGCAATAATACCATTACCATCACCTTTGAGTGGGAGCTTAAGATGTGTACAGCAGTAAAAATATAGAGTATATTACATTGGGATAAATAAGTAAGAGATAGAAAAGAGGTATTTCCTTCCATCATCACTTCCATGATTATCACTTTTTTTTTTCTAAAGGCACATTTTTGCTTTGGAAGTCAGTATTAGACATACAATATAGTAAAATGTTAGGTACCTTTTGACAGGGATCCTTGTGTCATCCCACTATAGTTCTGATTAATGGCAAAGAGGAAAAACAGCATAGTTGGCTGTTTTTAACAGTGTGTTTTGTGCACCTTGGCATATAGTCATGTTGGTCACTGACCACAGAAGCATCTTCAAACAATACTGGCTCTCTCAACTAGGAAAAGGAGATGAGCACCACCCGCTAAAGTTGGACATGAGTGGAAGGGGGAAACCTTTACCTTTACCTTTTAACATGATATTTAACTGCTTTCACTCTGAATAGAAAAAAATTATATTTATAGTGGATTTTACTGTCAGTAGATGATAGCACTCAAGTCAAGATGGAAAAAAGAGACAACGTTAAGTTCCTTAGGGGCCTCCATACTTAGTGCAATATGTTTTCAAATATATTGGACAGATATATTTGTTTGCTTTTGTTTTTATTTTTGACCGATTTGAACACTGGGCCCTAACTAAAAAAATGAAATTTAATGTAGAGAAAAGTAAAGTCTTACACTTAGGCAAGAAAAACCAAAAGTACACATATAGATTTGGAGAAACCAGGCTTAATAACAGTAATTGTGAGAGGGATCTTGGAGTCTTAGTGGACAACCAATTAAATATGAGCCAACAGTATGCAGTGGCAGCCAAAAAAGTCAATCTAATCCTAAATTGCATTAAGAGAGAGATTCAATCAAGATCAGGTGAGGTACTAATACCACTATATAAAACCTTAGTAAGACCACACCTAGAATACTGCATTTAGTTCTGGTCACCATGCTATATAAAGATGTCGAGACTCTAGAACAGGGGTGTCAAACTTGATTTCATGGAGGGCCATATCAGAATTGTGTTTGACCGTGGAGGGTCAGGGATGTATGGGGTGTGGCCAGGGGGGCAGTGTTGCCATAGTGGGCGTGACACAGGACTCATGTCGGGAGCACCTGTGCTGGCCAAGCGCTAAGGCAAGACTTCTCTGAGACCCACTTATTATCTATCTATCTATCTTCCTTCCTTTCTTTCCTTTCTTCCTCAATCTCTTCCTCACTCCCTCCTTCCTCAATCCCTTCTTTCCTTCCTCCTTCCCTTTCTCAATTCTTCCTTCCTTCCTCAAACCCTTCCTTCTTCCTTCCTTCCTACATCCCTCGCTTTCTCAATCCCTGCCTCCTCAATCTCTTCCTTCCTTTCCTTCTTTTTCCTTCCCTCTTCATTCTTTCTTCATCTCAGAAAAAGTAAATTGGTTTATTAGAAATTGCCATGTTGATGCTTGGCTGGGTGCAGGTGATACTAAATCACATCATACATTTCCCCCTTGACCCTGGTCTTTCCCCCACCCTCTGAATGTGACTTCTCCAATAGGACACATCGGTCTCCAAGAGTCATCCATCATGCTCTCCAATAACCTTCTTATGCTCTGACAACTTTGGGCTGCTGAGTTGATTACCTAGCCCTTTCAAGAATGCCTTGTTTTCCCCCACTCCCTTTTTCTGGCAGCTAAAAAGACCAAAGGAGTATCTTTTTAGTTGACATTTTCCTTATTTTTCCTTCCTTGCTCTCTTCCCATCTTCCCTTCTTTTTTTCCCTCTTTCCTCTTTCTTCTTTCCTGTCCCTTCTTGCATGATCAACTGCAAAAGGGGAAACATTTCTCCTTTTGTTTAGTTTTTAGTTTGTTGGGGTACAGGAGCGGCATGCCCCCCCCAGCTCCATTTTTGCTAGCAGAGGCACCACAGGCCAGTTCTTTGCTTTTTACAGGCTGCCCCTGCTCTAGAAAGACAGCAGAGAAGAGCAACAAATATGATTACGGGACTGGAAGTTAACATATATGAAGAACAGTTGCAGGAATTGGGCATGGTTAGTCTAGTGAAGAGAAGGACCAAAGGAGACATGATAGCAGTGTTCCAATATTTGAAGGGCTATCACAGGGAGGAGGGGGTCAAACTATTTTTCAAAGCACCTGAAGTCCAGACAAGGAATAATGGATGAAAACTGATCAACAAGAGATTCAATCTAGAAATAAGGAGACATTTTCTGACAGTGAGAACAATCAACCAACGGAACAGCTTGCTTTCAGAAGTTGTGGGAGCTTCATCACTGGAGACTTTAAAGAGGAGACTGGACAGCCATTTGTCTGGAATGATAGAAGAGACTGAACTATCTGGCCCACAGGGTGCTTAAATCTGGCCAGCAGGGCTACCCTGGAAACAGCAAAGGACTGGCCCACAGTGCCTCTGTCAGTGAAAACAGAGCTCGCACACAGTCTCCCGAACTCTGTTTTCACTGGCAGAGGGTTGCAGGAGGACGTCACTGCCAAAAAAAGAATTCAGGAGCCTGTTTTCACTGACAGAGCGCTCAGGCCACCACAAGTGCCCCTGAGACGAGTGACGTCAAGCAGGCCACACTCACCCTGGCCACACCCATCCTGGTCCACCAAGGGAAAACACAACCTTTATTCTACTCTACTCTACTCTACTCTACTCTACTCTACTCTACTCTACTCTACTCTACTCT